GAGTTGTGTTAGGTGTTTCCTTGTGTATATCTTCCTAATCAGGAAGGCCAGATTTTAAACCCAGAAAGAAACACCCAGACTCCCACCCCCATGCCTTAGCCAGCAAGCCAAGAAAAGCTTGAGGTTTGTGGTCTGATATCACCATTTTCTCCTCAATAAAAAAAAAGACTGGAATTAATGTGTTCGCTCTGGTATTTTTATGGGACGATGAGGTAATGGTTAAAAATAATAGACAAAGGTTAAAATAATATGAAATCCTACACTTCCAAAAGCACCAGCCTTAATAGTCTCCACTGGCAATGTTCCCAGTGATGCTTCTACAGGCCAGCTGCAACAGAACAGACTTGCAGAATCATCCTTTGCTCTTCGGTAATGTAGTAAAACATTGTACTAGTGAATTGCCCCAGTGGTGTTGGCACTGCATATCCAGCTAAGGGATTATCATTTTATTATCGCTCTTGAGAAATGACACTAACTCAGACACAGAGAGAACTTCCATTTTCAAGGGTTCTATTGGCCACTTTAGATGCCCTTGATATGTGACCAAGAGTCATTTAATCAATTAAATGCAAATAGTTGTAAGTTGCATAGATGAATTCCCATAGCTTTTCATAGATAGTGTTAAGTTTACTGTAATGCAGATCATTGGTAAGTAGTTAAAAGTTGCACCTCCCACGTAGAAGAGGTCTACTGCATGGTGTTTCGCAGCACTGAGGGATTGCTGCCATCTAGTAGCTTACCCGAGAAATACTGGCCTCCAGGTCTATTGGCTTCAGCAAATGAATGCCTCCCAGAATCTGCCAACTGCTCCAGAATTATGTGGGTGAATTAAGTGTTTGGTTTTGTCATGTCAGAGCTTTTGGGAGCCACTGGAATGGTAGTTTCCTGGACAGGGTTTGAGTATGAGCAAAGATTGGGTTTGAGTGCAGCCTTCCTGTGTCCCCTCCCAACATAACCTAGCAGAACTACCTCCTCTATGAGAACCAACAGGAACAGAAGGACCCATCTCCTTTTCCTCCAAGCCTATGTGAAGCCAGTCTTTGGGTGAATCAGAGGAAATATAGGGTATCATTAGGAAAACCCTCCATGAGCTAACTTGCGTCTCAAGAGTTCAAGGTGGTGTTGCTGGAGTTTCTTGTCCCACCAGGTCCCGCCGCCCACAGTCCCAAATAAGCACTCAAAGACTTATATTAATTATAAGACTGTTGTTCCATAGCTAGGGCCTCTTACTGGCTAACTCTCTCTTAATAATTAGGCCATTTCTATTAATCTAACTGTTTCCATGTGGTCTTGGCTTACCAGAGAATTCCCAGACCTGTTACTCCTTTTGCGACTACATGGTGTCTCTTTGCTGTGTCTCTCTCCCCACCTTCTCCTCATCTCCTAGCCCTGCCTGCCTTCCTGCCTCTACTGGCTATTGGCCAATGTTTCATTCATCAACCAATAAGAGAAACACATACAGAAGGACATCCCCCATCAAGATGTGTCACCAAGTAGTAGAATGTTTAGAAACCTATCTGGTACTCAAAATGTGATAGAGCTCTGATAGTTATGCCCTACAAATCACCAGAGCTAGGTGGCAACTGGCACATTTTCTGGATTAAGTAGCACCAGAAGCAAATGGAATAAACAACAGGAAAATATTTGATGTATAATTTCATTTTTATGAGTGAAAGATGTTCAAGTCAGTCTTATCTCTATGATATCCAAAAGGTAATATATCCATAACTGCAATACTACAAGTGCCTCTTAAACTAGGCATGTTTTCTGCTTCCTATGTGTCTGATATGGTGCGATTTCAAATTCTGTAAAAGCAGTATATGGTTTTTTGACAAATACACCCATGTGTGGTGCACAGTTTGATTTATATAAACTCATTTTGAATGCAGAGGCAGAATTCCTCCCAAACAGATGAAAATATCTGCCTAGAGTGATAAATGCATGTGTGTAGAAAGATAGAGTTGTAGGAAGGGATTTTTTATGAGAAAGGTTTGTAACATTATTTCAAATTTTCCCTTTAAAAGATCTTCTAGAAGACTTGTATTTATTTTGTTTTTCTGTCAGTTTGAATGTTTACCTAATGTGAGAAGGAGTCTGTTCTGCCAAAACACTTTCCTGTAACACAACATAGCTTATGTGGGATTGCTAAACTGGAAAAGATATCAATATAGCATAAATGCTCTATATCAGTGATTCTCAACCTGTGGATTGTCACCTCCTTAGGGGTTAAGTGACCCTTTCACAGGGTTCCATATCAGATATCCTATAGGTATTTACATTATAATTCCTAACACTAGCAAAACTACTATCGTGACTATATAGGGAAAACAATATATTTATTTATCAGAGAGAGAGAGAGAGAGAGAGAGAGAGAGAGAGAGAGAGAGAGAGAGAGAGTCGCACTGACCAGGAGTCAGAAGCATGGCTGGCTTCCAGGAGAAAAAAAGGGAAGCCCCCTTTCCTTTCACTTCCTTTTATCTCTACCTTGACCACGCCCTATTGGGTGGATAGCTTTGTGGGGTTCACTCCTACAAACTACAGTTATAAAGTAGCAATAAAACAGTTTTATGGTTTGGGAGCACCATACCATGAGGAATGGTATTAAAGGGTCACAGCATTAGGAAGGTTGAGAACCACTGCTTTACATGTTCGTGAACTCACGATTGATACAGCTAGACCAACAACTGACTAATACAGATCAATACAGCTAGCCAGTGGATGACGATAACACCAAGCAATCTCATTCACCTGATGCAGTTTGCCACATACTTCACTAGTGCATAGCGCTCAGTTTCTCTGCAAACTTAACTCTATAGCTTAGCAGTGAAAACACGTTCTTCCATCTAGTTAATTTTATACAAAATATATAAACATACACAGAGAGAGAGAGAGAGAGAGAGAGAGAGAGAGAGAATGGGAGGGGAATTTAATATTCTTCATATATTTTATTTATATATTGTTTATATAAAAATGTTAATAGCAGCATACCATTTTAATCATGCTTAATATTTACAAAGATTTTTTGTTGGTATATTACTACCTAAGTGTTTGGTGGGTCTGCCCTAGCTATCTGTTCCATTAGTCCTATTATTTTTATGACGTGACTTTGTAGACCATAGTAGTAATATGTTATTCTCAGTATACTATTATGCAATGTTTTTATTATAAATAGATTTGCACTCTGTCAACTGCATTTATCACTATCAAGTTACTCTTTGAATTGTGGATTATTATGAATCAACAGCATTGTAGTACCCCATTACACAGTAACCTCAAATTTGGTTGTGTTGAGCAGTTATGAAAAATATTTCTACCACAGAAGCCCTTAATAAAAGTCGATTTATTTCCACCAAAGCTTGATGTGAATTTTTTTAAATCACTAGTTGTAGCTAGGCCTTGTGGTATAGGCCTATCATCCCCACTTTGGGGGAGACTGAGACAGAAGAGTCACAAGTGTGATGTATGTGTGGTTTGGAGTCAGTGCAAGTCAGCCTGGGCAACCTAAAAAGACCTAGTAGAATTTTTCAAGAGTTCTCTGGATGCAGTGCTGTAGTAGAGTGTTGCCTCTCATGCATGAAGCCCCAGGTTTAACTCCAACCCATTTTTAAAAGGTCGCCAGCTTTGGCTTGAATTTGTCTAAAAAAGGGCCCTATAGAAGTTGGAAGGGTGGCTCAGCAGTTAAGAGCATTTGTTGTTCTTATAGAGGAGTCAGGTTTGTCTCCCAGCACCCTGATAGGCTGGTACTTCCATCAAAACTGATGCATGCCCTCTTCTGGCCTCTTTGGGCACTGCATATATGTGGTGCATGTACATGTATGTGGGCAAAACCCCCATACATATGAAAAATAAACTGTTTTAAAAATAAATGGACCTTCACCCTACCCATGTGTATACATGCTCTAAGTCCTCATTTAAGTCATTCATAGTTTGACTTTAAATGTTGTCTTCAACATGATCTGAAAGCTTCAATTCTATGAAGTTAAATTGCAAGGAGTCACAGATATTAAATAAGGTACAAATTACACAAGAAAATGAATCCATCTAGTCATTCAAGAATTCCTCCTCCTACAGAAACTAAATAAACTCAGAAGAAAACAGAAATATTTCAGAAGGGCTTTATTTACTTCTTGATTTATTTATTTGGATGAGGCTAAAGATGATGTGCTTTGTTTCAGAGAATCAGTCATTCTTTGATATTATTAACATGTCAGCACAGTGTAACATATCAATGTGAGTGGATGCTTTGGAGCAATCAGAGTGATCATGTAATGCAGTTTTCTATATTTCTGCAGCAAATGCAGCTGATTTCTTTTAAATAGGACAAGCATTGCATTGGATACTGGTGACGGCCAGCAGAAAGAGCCCTAGATTTTAAGAAGGAACTGACAGAAAGCAATAATATAAGGATTCGCTAATGGATACAGAGAGGGGGGAGGGGGAAGGGAGGAGAGGACAGAAATAGAGACAGAGATAGAAAGACAGAAAGACATAGAAGAGGGGTGAGGGAAAGACTGAGGAATGGGAGGAGGGAGAGAAAGCAGGAGGGCCAATACTGTGTTGCAGAACAGAACCAGTAACTGTCAGCAAAAGGGCCACTTTAGCACACATAATCAGGAAGTTTGCCAAATGTGTTTTTGTGTTTTGTTTCTTTCCTTATTGCTTCTCTTAAATTTTTAAATTTTTGTCCATTTGAACGTGGAATAAATTTTTTAAGAGAATCCTCCACAGGGGGGTAAGAATGCTTGGTATCTCGATCTTCGTGGAGAAGGGTACAAAAATCCATCAAATTACATCTGTACAGTAGTTGCACTTTATCTTATATAAATCATGGATTAAATTTTAATAGCCCATCCAAACATACAGTGCTGCGTGCTTTCCATCAGAAAAAAAAATTTAGCTTCTTGTCTCTGATGATCTATAGTAAGTGTAACCCAGAAAGAAAAATGCTAAGATGTTTCTTCTTTCCATAACAATTCGTTGTTGTTTTGTACTGTTTGCAGCTGAAAGTCCAGATTTCTCAAGAACACTCTTGAAAAGAGTGACACTTGTCAAAGTGGGAGGTGAAGTTGCCATTGAGTGTAAGCCAAAAGCATCTCCAAGACCTGTCTACACCTGGAGAAAGGGAAGAGAAATATTAAGAGAAAATGAAAGGTACCATGTTGAAGTATTTTTAATATTTGATTAACCTGTAACAAATTGTCTGTCTGTAACAATTGAGCAAATACTCAAAGCAGGAAACTGTATAAGACAGGTGGTAACATTTGACCTCCATGATCCTTCTTAATATTGGGGTTATAGAAAGTCTTCCAATTGCACTAACCATGTGAGGTCTCTCATAGCTGCCTGCAGGTGAGCAGCTGAAAATATACTTTTAGCCTAAAAGTTTTATATGTGTATCAGTCCATCACAATTCCTTGACTAACTCAAATCAGTCTAGTTCCACACCGTGGCAACTCTTCAAATATTTGTCAATATCTGTTGTGTTTCCTGTTGTTATGTAGGTGGTCTATAGTTAATGATTCTGGTTGATTCATGATTCATTGGTATCTCTTTAAGGGACCATATTTGTTTGAATATCTGAATTCCTTGCCTCTGTTTCCTATTACACACGAATTACATTTAGAAAGCATATTGTTTAAAGGATGTAAATTTGTATGGGTTAGTTGGAGTTTGACATCAGATAGTACCAAGTGGCACATATCTCCGAGACCTTGTCTTGGCTGTCATCCCCATAAAATATTCGCTACCATTTTCTGTAATGTATTCGATCTGTTGGAAAAGGGTAATTATGCATGAGTCTGTGTTTGTCACCCATAAGACAGGATTTACCAGCAGTATACATAATGATTTTAATTGGTGTTAAAGGGCAAGTATTCATAGATCCAATAAGGAAGTGTTTAAAAATGTGTGTATCTACCCTTTTACACCTGCACACCTTCAAATTTACATACACAAATTAGATCGCTACGCTGATGATGCTGTCCTTCTTAATCATTCTTATAAACAAACTTGATGCAGTTTCTAAGTGATATACATCCACACATGTATTAACTTCATAATAGACATCCGTTATTAAGTTAAGGAGATTCTGTAGTCCACGAATACTGGGATGGCCTTCAAGCTTTAAGGAACACCTGGAACTTGAAAGCAACTTGGTTTTATTTTTACTAGTGTATATTAACTATGGATAATGGATTTTCTGGTGATGTTTTGTGCATATGTATGATTTATTTTAATCATATTCAGCCTCTTTATCCTCTCTTGTCCTTTCCTACTGCTGCAGGTTCCCTTTCTCTCCCCCACATAACCTCCCTTCTGATTTCATGTCTTGATTTTTACTTTTGGGTGATTCAGTGAGTTCACTTACGGTTGCTTATAGGGACAAATGACCACACTGCTGAAGAAACTGTCTCTTCCTCCTCTGGCAACCACTACCTGCCTATAAGTCCCAAAGATGTAGGACATCATGACTCTCACTCCTTTCCATAAAATAACATCAGCAGATCCAAGTACAGTGCAGGTTTTGTACAATCAAGAACAATTGTTGCAGTTCAGGAGTACAACAGCCAGCTGTACCTTACCTAGAAGACAGCATTGTATAATAGTCCATACTTTGGCTTTCTGTCCCCTCTTCCTTTCTGGAATAGATTGCCCATTGAAGTCCTAGCATTCAGTGGTAACTTGTTCTCAGCACATGTGTCAGTATGAACCCCAAGAGAAACCACCACCTATGGCAAAAAGAAGCTTCTCTCTCCAAACTTGACAGCGTGGCTAGTCTATGCGTATTAAGATAAATATTTAGAAAGTGCTTTGATAGGCATATCATGTCTATTTAGCAATACCTCAGTACTGGCAAGCAGAATTTCATACTGAAACACAAGAAACATTCCTTTGTACCTCAGTGTTTTTCAAAACGTGGTATGGGAGATTACATTTAATGGCTACATATTTCTTTAAATATAATTGAAATATAATTAACTCATACCAAAGACATGGCTTAAAACAAGGCTGCATTTTTACTGAAAATAGATTTTTCTCCCATAGAATGCATTCCAAACACAGTTTTCCCTCCCTCCACTCCTCCTAGTCATCCCATACCTCCACTCTTCTCCAGATTGTCCTCCCCTCTGTTTCCTCTTCAGAAAAGAGCAGGTCTCCAATAGATGGTTGTCAAACAGGACAAAACAAGATACAATAAGACAAGGTGAAAGCGCTCATATTAAGCCTGAGCAAGGCAACCCTATAAGACAAAAAAAGTCTCAAGAACAGGTAAAAGGGTCAGAGGCAATCTGCCCCGCAGTTAGTATTTACACAGAAACTCCAAGCTAACAGCCATAACATACATTAAAAGGACATGATGTAGGCCCATGTTTGCCATTTCAGTCTCTGTGGGTCCATGTGACCATGGCTTAGTTTATTTGGTGGGTCATGTTCGCTTGGTGTCCTCCATCCACTCTGACTCCTACAGTCTTCCCTCCCCTCTTCTGCTGAGTTCTTCCATCTCCAAGGGGAGGAACCATAGAGGCCTCCAGTTTACATTTTCTCTCTGTTAATGTCTGGCTGAGGATCTTTGTACCCATTCCCATCGGCTGCTGAAGGAAGCCTTTCTAATGAAGATGGGACAAGGCACCAATATATGAGTATAGCAGAATATCATTAAGAATCATTTTGTTGATTATTTTTCCATTAGTGTTTGGTTTTACACTAGGTCTCTGGGATATCCAGGCTCTGGTTCCTGGCTATCCAGATAGTTTAGGGCACAGGTATTCTCTTTTGGCTTTGGCCTCAAGTTAAACCAAACACTGGCTAGCCAGTTCCACAACTTCTGCACCAACATTGCCCCAGCACATCTCACAGGCAGGACAGGTTGTAGGTGGAAGGTTTTATGGTTGAATTGGTGTCCAGGTTTCTCTTTCCATAGCTAAGGCTGCATTTTTAAGGTTTAATTTTTGAGGTGATCTAAAGATAGCATTAAGAGCATTATATGAGGGATAGAAAAGGCTCTTGCAGTCAGCCACAGTTCTACTCCAAGCATTCATGTCTGTTGGCTGCCACACACATGGGTAGCACACACACACACACACACACACACACACACGATAGAGAGACAGAGAAAGAATAAAGTGACTTACAAAATGATATGAATATAAAGATGCATAAAAACCATGAATGAATGAAGTCTGAGAAATTATTGAGGCCCAATCCAGAGAATTGGCCCAATACTCTACCTGTTCCTCCATGTGGCTGTAGATCAGGTGTGTCCTAACTTTCCTCTTTATACTCCTCTTGGCTACTTTTGAGCACAGCTATATGACCAAATCCAGTCTACTATAAGAAGCAATGGTGGTCTAAAACGGCAAAAGCAATTTCTATTCACACTGCACACCAGCAAGGGTCTGTTGGTAGCTCTACTCTCCTACAAGGGCCACCTCAGAAGACCAGATCTCTTTGTAGTGTTGCCACTGCAGAATAGAAGGGTCAGACCCACGTGGCCTCTCAGTGTTTCAGGCTGGAAATGAAGCAACTTTGTGTTCACTAACACTGTATGGGCAAAAACAAGCCGAATGCCACTCAGAAGAAAAATATAATCTTGCTATGTACCTAGAAGAAAAGAGACAATGTGCACACCTATTTATGCATGGCATCCTAATATTTTGAACTGCATTAATGATAGTTTAGTATTACTGAAGCTTAACCATTTCCATATAACTGATTTAATTTTCTCTTAGAAGATAGTATATTATTATGCCAGTCTCCATAAGACCAATGAATTAGATTGATTATTTCCACCACTTTGTTTACTGTAAACTTTTCCCAATCCAAGTTGTATTGGTTTCATTAAAAGACATCAAGTATGCTTCCACATTCCTTTGACACAGAAAGTATATTCAAGCTCAGGATACTCCCTACTGTTACCTAGTTTCTGGTATTTATCACCTCCACCTCCAATGTCACCAGGCTGGTCGCAAAGCATCAATATTAGCACTTTATTTCCATATGGGTGCTGTGTTCTCAAGGCTTTGCCTCACTTTTTCACTATTATGAGGTAGACTGGATCTGGTCATAAAGATTTGCTCAAAACTGACCAAGTGGAATATAAAGAGAAAAGTCAGGACACACCAGCCCCATGGCCACATGGAGATGCAGATCGGGTGTCAGGCTGTTTCATTTTCCAGGAGAAAACAGGCATCCACATTTTGTTTGAAATTCTGATTCTTAAGAACAAGAAACAATTTCTGTCTAAAATGTTGATATAGCCACAAGGAGTACCATGAATCTATAATGCAAATTGGTTACATAAGTCATTGGCTTTTAGTTTCTAAGACATGTGCACTGTTGATCACTATACAATTTGAAGAGTAAGAAATCAAACAGACCTCACTATTGTTTCCTAATTGGCAAAATAAATGCTATTTCCCCCTTTTTTCCTGATAGAGATGAAACATAATTAACTGGAAAAAATGAACAAAATCAATCACACATGTTATTTGTGAATGAAAAATTATAATCCATATTTTAGGAGAAGATTGACATAATGGGCCAATACGAAGGGTAGTTAGTATTGGGTAATAATTTCTAACATACTGCCTTATTAGCCTTAATTCTCAGTTGAGACTAGACTCTTCAGAATCAAATAGTGAGTCTTTAACCTTTGAATACAAATAATTAATCCCTTAATTACAAAGCACTGGTGTAACTAAATTGAGACAAAACGTCATTACCTAGCATTCTCTTTTATTAGTGCTCTCCCTAAATTCTGTGTTTTTGAAATACTTTGTCAGACCATAGTCATCAATCGCTATTTAATTACAATTTCAACCACTTAACTGTGCATAAATGAGTTTGCCATAAAAGCATAAGGAGGAACATGGAGAAAACTTAGGCTCTTTTATCTTAGTAAGTCAGATGGTAGTGGCCAAATTAGTTCAGTGAACATAGCCTTAGAAATACTGGTTTAACATTAGTGTTTTAATAGTTTTAAAAATACATTTCTAAAATTATTTTTTCCATTTCTGTTTGTTTACAAGTTCAAAACATATTAACATTGCTTTTACTTATATTAACCCAAACATCTAAATTAAAAATGAAAAAGTAAAACAATTGTATAGCTTTGCTGTAGGTCAGAATCCATATCCATATGTAACTGGAAT